GACAGGTATCAGTGCAATGTCCCATGCAGGATGGCTGGCATACCGGCAGTGGAGGGAGGTTGGCAACTGGATAAGATCCTGGAGCATGAGCTAGGGATAAAAGGTAAGGCTTTGATCAATATAAGTATTATCAACTAAAATCAAATAATATTAACTTAACGGATTTGATTAAATAATAAATTTATTTTTGACACAAAAATAGGCGAGCATAGAACAGTTTTTGTGTGACTGACAAAAACTTTACGATACGAACAGGGGTGGTAAGTTAAAAACTGTGATAGGATATTATAAGTCATTGTATTGTATTGTGCCACGTACCGAGATTGTGTCATGCTTTACCGTGCCGTGCTATACCTTGCTATGCATTACCGTGCCGTGATTTACCTTGCCACATGCTTCACCGTACCTTGCTCTACCGTGCAGTGCCACAGGGTGACCTTGCCGGTATTTTAAGTCTATTCGCGGTTGATTTGATGTTTGTATATTTATGTATTCATTTACTTCGATAGTCTGGAAATTTATCGCCAGATTCGGGAGGGGGGTTGGTTTTAATTTCACGTTAGTGATAACCAACTTTATTTATTGGTTAAACACGAAAAAGCAATAATACTATTGTTGATAAACTAATAAACCTCAAAAACGCATGTTGAAAAAGGTTTTAGCAATTTCAAGTCTTTCATCACACGAATTATTAAAACTTTAAGTTTAACGTATTTTTGTGATTACTTTATGGATATGTTAAAGTATCGCGATTCTCCTATAAATTTGATCGAGAGAGAACCATCAATATAATGTGGTATTGTCGACGGTATTGACGGCTCAGAATTGCTGCGCGCGATTGGCTGGTAGCATTTGATTGACGGCGAAAATAGCACTTTTTCGGTATCGACGTCTGTTTTCATAATGCAACCGTTCTCTGAAAGAAAACTTCTTCTGCTCTTTTACAACTATATGAGACGAACTATTTTCTGACGACGTTATACAAGGATAGGGAAATAACAAGCTAAATATCTTGGACTTTCTGCTAAAGGTGAGTGAAAAATATCGTACAAAATTTTTCTTTCATACTTACGCTTCGAAGAAATTAGACTTTTTAAAACTTACAAATTGAATGACGAAGAAATCGTAGAATCATTTATTCCTTTATTGATGAATTGTGTTACCGAGTAGAATGATAAATTCATAGCCCAGAAAGTTTTTAAAACAATCATAATAACCAAAGATTTAAAAAAAAAGATAAAGCTTGCTTCGGTTTTGTAAACTCAAAAATGTCAAACTTGCTTGAGCGAACACTTGACGAGCACATTTTCAATGCAATAGGATATAAAGAAATCAGTATAAAAAGAAAAATAAATCTGTAAACAGTCCAAGCAATGAAATTATCTTGAACTTCATCTAATTTTATTATAATGATAGTGGAATTTTGATGAAAACAAAGTTTTTAAAAACGCCTAGCATCCATTTTCTCGAACCTTCCAGAAACCGTTGTTAGGGAGACGACTGCATGTAAGGTAGTGAGAATCTGAAGCAAATCAGGATTGCTTCCCCTGCTTTTTTCTTTATTTTTGARCTGAAAAATTGGAGAATCGCGATACAAAACTAATTACGATTTTGTGACGGCCACAAACCAAAATATTGTCGGCCTTGGAAGAAAATATTTTCCGCATTTGACTCCGTCGCTTTGCGACTCAGCCCAAGACGGAATATATTTTCTCCCAACTAGCCGTCAATATTTTGCCGACACGAGTGAAAAACGTCTGCGCATGCTCTGAATCCGTATGCAAATTACTCAAAACATATGTAAATTTGACTTTCAAACATGCCTGATAAATTGGACTTCACAAAATGCCAAAACTTAGTGTCCATGCTTGAAACTTAAGGGTAATCCTTTCATATTGTGTTTGTTAATACAGTATCTTGGTCTGACAAAAGTATACTCGCGAACTTTCTTGTATACTTGGAGAAAACAAACATTTATTTTCTCACTCAAACTCTTCAAAAAACGTGCTGAAGTGCACGCATGTGCAAACGTTTTACCCTGGTGTCGGTATTGCCGCCTCAAAATCGCAATACGATTTTTTTTCAATAACATACCTAGCACAATGCGCATGCAACCTATTTTCGGCTTCGTGGAATGAGAAGAATTAGTAAGCAGTGCCAACTGACATGATTTTTGTCTCCATTTTATTTTTAAGAATAAGAAAACCAACATGTAAATTTGTTTTAAGTTCAAGGCATACAATAGGTTTTTTGCTCACATTTTACTTGAAGTTTAATATAATATTACTATTAAGAAGTCTTTATTAAAATACTTGTAGCCTGATGATTAGCTTGCTTTACTGACATAGTACAAAAGTTCTTGTCTTATTAAAACACATTYTTGCGCCCTTAAATATTCTAATTTTGCTAATTATAACAGCTGAGTGCGATCAGTGTTTTAAGGTGACCACGATTATTGAATTTTAGGCGAAGCTTTATATAATTAGCACAGCTTTAAAGACCCTTTTTCAGTGAAGCCGAGTTCCAAGGAAAATTCAGCATGTATTCTTAGAGGGCATCCACAGTGACTCAAAATCCCTCGAGATATAAATAAGAATGAAACGGCCGCGATGCCCGTTCATCTAACGAGAGAAACTAATGAGGGATGCTTTGTTATCGTCAATCAACATGGCGGCCATGTGTAACATCGAACAAGCTTTCCTTTCGAAATCACCATCTTTTCATCACGCAAAGAGGTTTAAAAGACCAGACCATGTTCCTAAATTATTTCCGTTCTCTTGACAATACTAAAATTTCGATCTTATGGGAGTCTTTGCGTTCTTTATGCTATTTTTCTTATCGTAAGTGACAACAATCGAACAACATTTCACTGGACAAGAAGGAGTACACTTTGTATAACATGATGTAGGACAACTTCCAAGGGTTGGTGCCGCTACGCTTGTTCTAGCTGTCGGGTCTGTAAAGGCTGCTAGGCAGCACTTGAATTGGCAGTTTGGTTTACAGGAAATGAGGCATGGAGGGGGACAAGGGGCCACCTTGGTAGATCCAGGCAACGTATCCTCTCCTGGGAAGGATTTCGGACAACATCGTAGCGGACACGTTGGTAAACAAGCCCAGCTGCAAGAAGGAGGACAAGGTTCCGGAGTCGAGGCAGAAACGGTTTCTTTTTCTGGTTTTAACTCTTGACAACATTTAACTGGGCAGAGTGGTTGGCATGACTGCAAGCATGAGGATGGACAATTGTCCTTTTCTTGTTTCATTGGTGTGAGAACGATCAAACAGCATTTCGGAGGGCAACCAGGTTTGCATTTCTGTGCACATTCCGCTGGGCAAGTTTCCGGATTTTTATCAACAGATGAGGCTCCCTTGCAACACTTTGCCGGGCAGTCAGGTTGGCATGTCTGGAAACATATCGATGGACAATTCGATCCTGGTTGTAGTGGAGTAAGAACCGTCGTACAGCATTTTGCTGGGCAATCAGGCTTACAAGTTGAGGCTGAACATTCTTTAGGACAATTCTGGCTAGTTGGCAATGGTACGTTTGGGCAGCAAATGGCAGGACAATTAGGGCCGCATGATTGGGCACACTCTGGTGGGCATTTTGCAGCACAGCATTTCGCTGGGCAATCAGGCTTGCATGAGGTTAGGCATTCTTGTGTGCAACCAGCTATGGCTGGTTCGGAAATGTTTTTGGGTGTGCAACACTCGACAGGACAGGTTGGCCCACACGGTTGAGATGAACATTGTGGAGGGCACTCGTTCGTTTTAGAAATTGTTACGCAACACTTTGCTGGGCATTCATGCTTACAGGAAGATGRGGAACATTGTTCTGGACAAGGCAACCCAGTAATGATTGTCTTATCTTCGATCAATAGTCCACTGCAACACTTCGAAGGACACCCTGGCAAACACGACCGAAGACATTCATTAGGGCAATGATCTCTCTGGATACTTATAGGAATTAACTCTCCAACGCAGCATTTCTCCGGGCAATAAGGTTTGCAAGATACCAAGCACTCCTTTGGACATTCCTGTGTTCCAGGTTTGGTATTTGCAAGCTTAAGTACACCCGTGCAGCACTTGGCAGGACACTCTGGCTGACATTCCTTGGCACACTGTGGTGGGCATTCTTCAACGTTTGATTCTTTAGGTACWACTATTTCCAAACAGCATTTCGTAGGACAATCTGATGAACACAGTGTTGCACATTTTTCTGGACAAGTTTGCGCTGCTWGTTTTGAACCAGTACAACAYTGGACAGGGCAAGATGGTTGGCATTTGATGGCACAACCTGGTGGACATTTCTCAGGTGTTGTCTTTTGTGGGTCTATTTGGAGGAGGAAGAAATACGGTTACCGAAGGAAAACTGTAAYAAGTCTTTGGAATGCATTTTGAGGTTTCGGAACCTAAATTTTCTTCCTCCTCCGTTCAACTCGAGGGGAAATGATATCAAAAAACTTTATCTAAGTGTCATAAGGTACCGTGCTTATATACGTATTCACCTAAGTCCTAGAATCCGGACAAGAAAGTTTATGATCAAATTTAATAAACGGAAATTTAGAAATACGACGAACGAAAGAAACAAAACCATAAGGCACGACCTGAAAATGCATTCCATTGAAGTTTTGCATTCCAGCAAGTTTTTAAAATTAAACAGAGATTAAAGGCAGAAAGACAAGATTTGTGGTGCCAATACGGTGTACAAAATGTCGCAGTTTACTTAATGATTTATTTTATTTTAATGTGTTGGGCCTCCTGCAGCTGGCTATGTCGTATTTTTACATCGTCGTCGTCGTTGTGGCGGTTGTTATTTATATTTGCTTAAATCTATTCTTTACTACTGTTTTTAGAGTTTTATACAGAGTCGTTTATTCTTACACAAATTGTTGGTGACTTTCAGTGAAATCGCACAGAGGTCGACCATTAAGAGATTAGGTTTTTGCCCAAGCGTCCTGATTCACGACAGTCAACTTTTTACAATAACTTCAAAAATATAAAGCATCTGCTATAGTATGCTACTATTCAAAATCATATAACACAACCATTCCCTCGAAATTTTTATCACGATCCAATCAGAATATTTGAAACAGCACCGACACAATCACGGCACGGCTTTCATCAGTCATGCAACATTTATATGTATACTCTGTTTAAATGATTTTTTCTTGTTCTATAATCTAGAGCTTACCTCCGCAGTATCCAAATTTCTTATCATGGTCAAAACTGAACGTCGTTGCGCACCAGGGCTTCCCATTACTGTCCTTTAAGCACTGCATGTACATTTTACCTTCGTAGACGAACGGGAAGTGGCAACATTCTCCTGCACCAGTGCCCCCATGGGCAAGATAACAATCTGGTGAGCAAAGAAATGTATCAAAAAAATATTGGTTTAGAGTTCAAAGCTTTGATATTGAGCATTTCATTATCCTTAGTACAAAATTATTGTTCTACGATTACAGCAGAAACTTTTATTCAAGGTCACGCAACGCGGTTGAAACTGTTTGAGAAACCAGCTACTGACGCTCTATGTAAAAATTATTTCCCTAATTACGTTCGACTTACGCGGACAGAATCCCCACTGCTGGTCCTTGTCGTAGCTGCTTGTCGTAGCACACCATCTGAACTTCCTTTCAGCTCGGATACAGCCATGTTGCTTCACTCCTTGGTAGATGAACGGGAAMACGCAGCAGGCACCTTCAGATGTTCCCTCATGGGTAGGCATGCATCCTGATTGGAATTCCAAAACAATGTCATACACCAATTCAATTTGCTGGAAAATCTTTTTTTTTCAACTTTGCGTCTGATTAGTCATTTGAAAATAACGAATAGATTTAGAGGGGATTCTTTTTTTAATCACATGATATGGTTATGTTTATCCAACATGGCGTTTATGACGTCATTTGAAAAATGACAAATAGATTTGGAGGGACCATAGTGTTTTGTTTATCCAGCATGGCGTCTGTGATGTCATTTGAATACCACTCCAAACCTATTTGTCATTTTCAAATGACGTCAATTGCGCCATGTTGAAAAATTAACATTAGATTTCTCAACGAATTCATTGGTTATGACATATAACATGGCTGCCACGTCCTTTCTTATTCTATCCATTCTCTTGGGAATAAATGTTATTCCCACGAAAACACACTTTTTGGCTTTCATATTTTGGGCACTCATCCACGTGTAAACTCGGACATTGCGGTTGCTAGTTGAGCGCTTATCGTTTGTGATAAAGAAGCCAATTAAGTGTGATGGTACGTTTTACTTCTGGTAATAAATATAAGAGAGTTAATCTTACCTTCAATTGGTGGTACGACAATGACTGAAAAAGGATATAATTAGAAACTATCAGTTCATTCAATATAATTAAATTAAATTGCGAAGGATTGCTATGAATAGACGCCATTTTAGTCCCATGTGCGTGTGAAAGTTTTGAAACATTTCTTTTACTAGAAATGCACACGGATAATTGGGCATGATGGGCACTGTTTGCCCTTCACTCAAGACTTGTAGTCATATTCATGAGGAAGCTATTTAAACTGATTTATACCAAGCAACACTTCGTGGACGATAGCAGATGACTGGCATTATTAGCATATATATATCATTGTGGGCTGATTATAACATCTTTGAGATTATTTCAAGTGATATATACCAAACAATAGAATACTCTCTGGTCGTTGTCCAACCGGCAGTGTTTGCCTATCACTGATCGATATATATTTTGAATTAATTTATTTAGCTGATAATTACCTGTAGGTGGAGGAGGTGGCGTCGTAGGAGGAGGAGGAGGTGGAGGAGGAGAAGGAGGAGGAGGTAGGGGTGGAGGTGGCGGTGGCAACGGAGGCGGTGGTGGTGGAACCACTGTCGGTGGTAGAGGAGGAGGACCAGCAGTAGTAGGCGGTAGAGTAGGTTTGGGGGTTGTGCTGGGAGCTGTGCTCGGTGGAGGGGTAGTTGGAGGTGTCGTAGGGGCTGTTGGTGGAGGTACTGGGGGTGGTGGTGGTGGTAGAGGAGGAGGTGGCGGAGGAGGAAAGGGAAGTGGGGGTGGAGGAGCTGGAGTTGTTTTTTGGATCGGAGAGACTGTTTTTGAAGGTGTCGTAACTATTGTAGTAGGTGGCGGCATTGCTTGAAAAAATAAAAAATATATATATTAAATATTTTAGGTTAAAATTTATTTCTTCTTTGTTTTATTTGCCCTACTTTGTGTATTTTTGTGTGTGTTGTTTGGTTGGCTCAATAGCTGGTTTGCTTGTTTATTCGTCCGTTTGTTCTTTTGTTGTTGTTGTTGTTGTTGTTGTTGTTGTTTTTACCATGACTGTCCATCTATCATGTAATAAACTCAAATTAATTCTAACGAAAATAAATTTCCGAAAAGATTAGGCGGACCTATAGGATCAGTGTTGGAGATAAACGCTACTATAAAGATTAAATCGCCAATAAAAAGCTTCTGGTGTTAAGCGTTACATTGTTACTTACTTGTGAATGGCCTTTTAGAAATGGTCAGTTTAAGCTCCATGGGATTTGAACAATCTTGACTGATTATCAGTGTAATGTTTTTCTTTCCATCAATAAGCAACTCGAACCGCTTCAGTGGATCCTCCGCACTGAATATAATATGCGTAAAAGCATTTGCAATAGTATCTCGTGGGCGAGGGAATCTCTCGATCCTATCAGCTTGTGGTGTASTCGAGGCTATTGATGCTGGCGATATCTCATTTAAAACCTCTTCTGCGGATTTATCTGATGGTTTGACTTCAGATCGTCTTTGGGAATCTGGAGACTGATTACTCTTGTGGATCGTGTTTTTAGTACTTATTCTCTCAAGTACGTCTTTTGCGCTCGCATTGCCACCATCGAGATGCGTGGCAGACTTTTTACTTCCAACACTTTGTTTTTCTCTACTTCTCCTTAATTCGTGTTTTTTATCTTCGTTTTTTATCGTTTTTCTCGTACTTCTAGAGTTTGCTCTTTTATTTCCACTATCCTTCTTTGTCTTCCTTTTGTCAGATCCTTTAAGATGTCTTTTTATTTTAATATCTTCTTTGGCTTTAACAACCATTTTTTCGTCTTCGTTCACTGCTCGCAAATATCTGTGCTTTCCATCCAACGCATGATTCATAGCCTCTTTCCTAACTAAGTGTTGTTGTGGTGCCTGTGCTATGTTGGTTCTCTGCCCAAGATATTTAGCACTTGCTTCTGTAGGTTTGTTTGGTGCTGCTGTAGTTGCTTTACTCTTCTTTGGTAGCACGTATTTCACAACAAAGACGCGTCCGTACACGAAGTATCCGCCGGGTTTAAGGCTTGAAAAAAGTCGGTAAGGGAAGCCGGCATCGTTGATAAACAGAATCTTTAGGCATAGTTCTAGGATGAAATGAATAATAATAGTTTAATAATAATTTGATACTTACATTGCGCGTGTTACATAGGAAGATGCTCACACGCGCATTACAAACTAAAATAGAAATATTTAAATATTTAAATATTTAAATATTTAAGGAATGGATCATAAGTAGCGTGCATCCATCGAGTTATGGAGTTATGGAGTTATGGATGCCCGTTGCATCAGCACCAAAGCAGCGCAACCAGGAGGGCAAGCAATATTTGATACCCGAATGAATAATCAAATAATTGTGTTGGTTGTAGATTATTCTTCACACCAACAGGCATTCTTCCTATCGGTTGACAGGTAGGGAATGCAATAACCACCTTTTCTGGTTTCGTTTTAATTATTTTGGAGGCAGTGCATGTAGCAATTGGATTTGTCCTTTATTTCTTGGCAAAAACAGATAGGATCGCGCGCACAGGAACTCAAAATAACAATATAAGCCATACATAGAAAGCACTTACACGGTGGCGAGAAAGAAAGAACGTAGATACAGAGAAGCTGATCTAATAGTATGCTAACAAACGCTATGAGTCTGGAAACATTGGCTATTTTGGTCTAGTGGTAGGGATAGGCCTTATTTTCTTTCAAGCCAATATCAAAAACGAAAGAACTAGCCCTAGATCGAACCCAAACAATTGATTTTGTGAAGGTGGATTTAGCAGTGATGCACACTTCTCTCACCTGTGGGTTCTCGGGGTCTCGCGTGCTCAATCATAGGAAAACCTCAGTAACATGTACAAGCTAAATAAACCAGTTTCGCATTCGATGCATACCGCGTGCTGATCTTAGCACAACAAACTCATATGCATAGGATTAGACTCTTTATAAAGTCAGCTATTCCAATTCGATCTATGACTTAGCCGTGCTCTGACTTAGATAAGTCCAGAGGTCGTTTTAGGGTTCGATCTGTGAGTTAACTAAGCCCTGACTTTGATCGGCCCAAAACCGTTTCTGTACCTATCCTCCTCGCGCATAAAATGGCACATAGGGCCTAATACCGTTTCAGGATATCGATAATATTTGAATTTTCTTACCGTCAAGAATGGGAATGGTAGTCGGCGCAGGCGTCGTCAGGATTGCCGGCGGAAGCGTAGTAATGTTCTTCTTCGGGGCTGAGGTTGGTTTCTGAGGGACAGCGGGAAGCACGAAGAAGCAATTCATCATCGGATTCTCATTTGTATTGATCAATCGTATTACGAAAGAGCATCGCTGTATCCAAGTGATGGTGGGCTCATTATAGCGTGCTACGAGATTAGTTATATGGAAATTGGCATTCCTACTCTCACAAATGAACCATCCTTTATGTAACGACAGCTCGAACATGAAGGCCTCTGGGAACTTTGATACCTTGAACGTTACAAACGTTGCTGCAAAATCTGAATGAACGGAATGAAATGTTTAACAAAAGCATATCATATTCATGTATATTTTCAAGCGTTATCTTATCGGTTATCGGTAAACGAAGGAAGTGCAGTCAAAGGAATATGATGTGCAGTCAAAGGAATATGATACACATGGTGTGAAATATGGAATCAAGGGTGGCACAGCGGTAGCACACTCTCTGGGGTCTAGGGTTCGATTCCTTGACTCGGCAACAGGTGTGAGGATTGATGGCTTTTTCTCCGGGTTCTCCGGTTTTCCAATTATATCTGTGAGTTAGCTGTGCCCTGAATTTGATAAGCCCTTATGCTTTTTCAGGGTACTGAAAAAAATTGAAGGATATGGCAAAACAGTAGATTGGGTCAATCTAGAATGGTTAATTTATTCATTGTAAACTTACAAAACTTTTCCGTCTTTTCTAGTTTTGCGAGCTTGAAGTTGTAGTTCTTTTGAATGATGTAGTACCCGGGYGCACAGGCAGATTCCCACGAGACTGTTTGCTGGCCCTCCTCGTGTGATTTGAAGCCTTTTCTTGCTATGTAGACCTGGCATCTTCTCCCTAAAACCACGCGCCCAAATAGTCCCCTCCAACAAAGATTCTTGTGGAAGTCATGAGTAGCGGGAATGTTCATGGAATGAATTATATAATAGCTGCCAATAACCACTGTAATCAAAATCAAAATCAAATCAAAATCTAACTCGACACCAAAATTAAAATCAAAATCTGAAAATGAAATGTTTATCAAAATCGAAATTGAAATCGAAATCTAGATCCCCTCCTTTTAGCAGGGATATTTTTTTAATGAACGTTGACTTCCTATCTATAAAGATGTTGTCAAGACCGGTACCTCTTCCGCGCCCCATTTCCTAAACCAGCCACTGACAGCGAATCAGATAATTTTCTCTTTTCTCTTCCAACTTATTATTTTCTTTTTCTCTGTTAATTAACTAACCTTTACTTGCGGAGCCAGAAACAGTAACGAACGTTTTAGCCAAGACTTGTACATTTTGTCCAGCTTTTGGTTCAACCACGGGGAATTCTGGACCCGTGCTCTTTTCTTTACCCTTTCCTGTAACATTACCGCCGCCTGCACCTCCACCTGTACTGACTTCCTTTGTTTTAATGCTGCCAGTCGAGCCCGTCTGAGCCCCTGCAGTAGCCCCAGCCCCTCCGCCCACTTGAACATTGGCTGCAGCTGATGCCACTGAGCCACCTCTCGGGGTGAACACATTGACTTGTCTCTGAAGGGAAATGTTCCTTAAGGCTTCCGATAGTGTTTTCATGGCAATAGCTGTAGCAGCTTGACGGGCTGCAACTGCACCTGCTGCGGCTCCAGCTTGAACGCCAGCTCGTTCCCCTGCTAAAGCTCCTGCCTGAGCTCCCTTTTCTGCTGCTTCTTTTTGACCTAGCGTGGCACCAGCTTGTGCCCCGGCTTTTGCTGCTATTTTTAAAAGTGCAAGAGGATCTTCTTCTTTTCCTGGAAAGGAATGGTATCCGTGTTATTCGTATTTTAATWCCTGARRTGATRCTTATTGTTCTTYCTKYATTCTTTATTTTTCTGTTTCTCTTTTCCCCCCGCGACCTTTTCTATATTATTTTTTTCCTTCCAACCCTTTTCCTTCCTTTTAAACCCTTTGATGGTTTTTTATTTTCATCCTTACTGTGGTCCTCTTCGTTCTTCCCTTCTCCCATATTTTAGGTTTCCTTTTATAATCTCTCTATACATTATACCTGTCCTTCCTTCATTTTTTATTTCTTCTTTTTTTATTCTTTTTTTTTTTTCTATTTGTTTTCGTATTTTTTCGTTTTCTTGCATTCCTACTTTACTGACTTGCCCTTTTCCTCTTTCCTATTTATATGTTCATGCCTTTTTTTCACTTTTTATAATTATAGYGTAGGAAACTTTGTTTGAGTATTTTTATCTACGAGACAAGAATACCTGGTTTCTTCGGTGGTGGTAGAGTCCAGAGAAACTTTGAAGGGATAGGCGCGAATGCAGTCTTATCGGGAAGAGTAACCTCAACGCTTACATGGTCATCAAGGAATTGGTCTTTATGCAGCGCTTCAACATAGTAGTATTTTCCTTTGTTGAGATAAACGTCTTGCGAGCGTTGCTCACGAAATCTACGGCCATGAAACATTAAACGAATCAATAAGAATACATCCTGCAACACCAAGAAACAGGAGCCATAATACAATACATCCTGCAACACCAACAAACCTGACCAAGAATACAATACATCCTGTAACACCAAGAAACCTAACCAAGAATACAATACATCCTGCAACACCAAGAAACCTGACCAAGAATACAATACATCCTGCAACACCAACAAAGCTGACCAAGAATACAATACCAAGTAACGTAACCAAGAATGCAATGACACTTGCAACACCAAGAAACCTGATCAAGAATACTATAGATATTACATGGTAAAAAGTTATGTATTATTACTTATCGTATTCTCCCTTCTTTGTTACGTGATCACCAGATACTTCTGCAATCATTACTTTTTTCTTAGGGTTCTCATCTGTACTGATGTAAAACTGACCTTGTGCGTCGCTGCCTGTGAAGAATCAAAGCAGCATTGAAATGTCTGCAGATGGTTAAGAAGAAGAAAGAGAAGGACAAGGACTAGGACAAGGACAAGGACGGGGGCAAGGACAAGGACAGGGACAGGGACGGGGACGGGGACAAGGACAATGGCAAGGAAAGGGACGGGGACAATGACAATGACAATGACAATGACAATGACAATGACAATGACAATGACAATGACAATGACAATGACAATGACAATGACAATGACAATGACAATGACAAGCTAATCGACTTACTGATTCTAAATACGTAATTTCCTGTTTGCGGAGGGACAAAATATCCTCGGATTCTTGATCCAAAAGCATCAGCCCAATTTTCTGGCTCTGAGAAAGTCGGTGAGTAATCAACAAGATTGGGTAGGGTAGGATAACGTGAGCTCTGCACTAGGTTCTTGATATCATAACCATCTAATCCATCCCACCGTTCAACCACAACTCCTGGCTGTCTTTTAATATCTGTGAAAGTCGATGAAGTTGTTAGGCAGTTGTTGTGTCACTGGTTCACTGGGTCACTGGGTGACTGGGTGACTGGGTCATTTGGTCATTGGATATTTGGCGTAGTCGAACAGCATGCAAATATTATCATAATTACTATAAGATTGACCACTGATAGTTTGAATACCTCTATTCAATGTTTTCAAATCTTCTGTCGCTTTACTGGCGGCGTTCGAAACTTTCGTGTTTATATTCGAAGTTGTATCTGCTGGAGCTTCTTTTATTTCTTCATCGTTAAGTTTTTCATTATTGATTGGAGCTCCTTGATCTTTTCTTTCGTCATCGTTGGGTTTCTCATCATTAATTGGAGTTCCTTGATCTACATTTGGTTAAATAAACAATCAAAACACTTCATTACTGAGTTGCCAGTGGCAAACATTTTATTCTGTCTGTCCCTCGCAAAGAGGATGTGCAATACTGCCCAGGGCCCTCTACGGCATTACTCAATATGGGGCATATGTTACAGGGTTCCCGTGTATAATCTGAATACGCATATCCATATAAGAGGGTTTCCAATCAATACCAAATCATTAATTAACAAAGAGATTGATTGAAGGTTTGGCTGTGTATCACGCGCCGAAAAAATGAATGTCTACGCGTGCTTTTTCAGGTTTGCTGCTGTGATTCCATCTTCTTCTCCTTGCTTCCTTGCTTCCTTGCTTCCTTGCTTCCTTGCTTCCTT